GAGGTGAAGGAGGATGAGGAGGACGAGGTGGAGGAGGAGGAGGAGGAGGAGGAGGAGGAGGAGGAGGAGGAGGAGGAGGAGGAGGAGGAGGAGGAGGAGGAGGAGGAGGAGGAGGAGGGGGACGGAGGCGCAGTGCAAAGCCGCCCGGACCCCGATAGTTGCCACGGCGGGAGGGGGAGGCGGAGGGGGACGGATGGGGATGCGACGTGTTTTGCCGATTTCGGCTTCTGAGGGCCCTTGCCAGGCCTCGGGACCTCGAAAACACGACGCAGGATGGAAAGCCAGCCCCGGGGAAGGGGTCGAACCGTCCAGGGGTCTACGTTTTGAAAATCAGGATGCCGGGGGTCTGGAGGTGGAGGCGGAGGATGACGGAGGGGGGACGAAGAGCCGACGACTCGGAGGACAGGGTCCACGTCGATTCGATCGATCTTGGTTCGATGCATCGGTTCCGGCCAGCCTGGGCCGATCCGATTCGGGCGTCCTGGCGATCCGATGCGACCAAGTGTTGGCATGGCGCTGCTGCGCATCCTGGCGCGCAAGCGATCCGATTCGATTTCGACTCCGTGCCGATGCAGCCCTGTCCGATGGACATGTCTATTCGAACCGATCTTCCTGGAGAAGGGATGTCGACAGGGGTCCGGCCTCGAACGCGGGGCATGGGAGAGGGGAGCTGCAATCACTTGCGAGCCCTGCAGGGAAGCTCGAACACGTGCCCGTGGCCAGCCCTTCCAGTCCTTCCCAGCCGTTTCCAGTTCGCCTCTGGTTTTTCCAGCTTTGGCCACCTTGTCCAATATGGCTCGGGTTCGTTTCCGCCTGGTCCAATTTGTTTCCCTGGCCACTTCCGTTGTTGTCAGCCCTTTGCTGGCTCACATGTTCCATTCTTTCCAGCTTCCATCGGACTCTGGTATACGGGTTCGCTCGGCTGCTAACACCCTTTGAGTCCTGAGCCCCCCCCAAGAACAAATCTGACTTGCAGGGGTAGGGCTCGCACGCAATTGTCTCGGGGAGGTGAGGGGGGAGAGCGGCCTGCGGCGGGAAGGACCGCATCGATTCGCTTAGCCACAAGGCGCGCCGCGTACGCTCCCTCTCCTCTCTCTCGCTCGCCAGCTCTCTCTCTCTCTCTCTCGCACTGTCTGCCTTTCTGTCTGTCTGTCTGTCTGTCTGTCTGTCTGTCTGTCTGTCTGTCTGTCTGTCTGTCTGTCTGTCTGTCTGTCTGTCTGTCTGTTTCTCTCTCTCTCTCTCTTTCTTTCTCTCCCCCTCTTTCTATGTATAACTATATTTCACATATGTATCACTCTCTCTCTCTAGCCTGGGCTCGAGCTCCCTTCGTATAGCGAGCGTAGCCGCCAGGTACCCATTCCCAGCGGTCCCCTTCAGGCCGCCCCAGGGCCTGGAGTCTGGGCCTCCCAGATGGGGCCGGGGTAGGCTGGGTCGGAGGATTGCGCCGCATCGCCGATGCATTGGCGATACTGCCCGATGCGGAGCCCGATTTTCTCCACGCCGACGTCGTCGATGCATCGCCGGCGTCGCTGGTGCATGGTCAGTGCATCGGCGATGCATCGGCGATGCGGCGCGCTCCTCCGACCTCATCTGCTCGGACCCCATCGGGGAGGCCTCCATGGAGGCCCTCCTTGACGCGCAGCTGCTGGATTGGAGTCTCTTGGAGCGACACCCTGATCGGTGCCCGCCATCGTGCCGCAGGTTCCCGGGACCAGCGCGCCCCCGCGGCGGCGGGCGGCCATGGGCGCCCTTCTGGCCGTGGGCCGGGCCGGCGTGCTGCGCCTCGCCCGGCAGGGGCCGTTCGCGCGGCGGTCGAGTTTGAGTGTCGGAGGCGGCGATCGGGGCGGATAGCCCAGAGTGGGATTAATACGTGTACCCAGGGGCGCCGATGGAACATGCCTTCGGCGAGGCTCCCAAGCGAGTGCGTGCAAGGCCCGCCGCCTCCCAGACATGCGACGTCCTGATCTTTTCGACACGGGTTCCCTGGAAGTCTCGACCCTTTCCCCGGGACCGGTTTTTCGTGAGTCGTTTTAGACGGTCCCGAGGCCCGGCGAGGCCCCCCCCGAGGTCGAAGACTAGCAAAAACCTCCCGTCCCGATTCTTTTACGACACGATCATGTCTGGGTTGGCTATACGCCCCCATCGTCGCCCCCGAGAGTGTGCCAAGCGACGTTCCCTGCCGCTGCAGCGGGCCCTTCCTGAGCATCAGTAAGGCACGCGCCCCCGCGCCCCCGTGGGCGCCGCGGGTTCTCGATGCGCGTTGGCGTCCAATCGGTCTTTGCGTTCGCCTTTCTGCGGGGCCTGCCGACCTCCCGCGACGCCGCTGGCAGACTCGCCGCAGTGGCGCCGTCGAGCCCTTTCCGTGGCTCTGTCCGTTCTGTCGAAGAAGACGGGCGCCACAAACATAGACTTTTTGGCGCTCCGCGCGGATTTCTTGGATCCGCGCTGGGCTCCCCCTGCGGCGCCTCCGGCGCCGCCCCTGGCGCGCTCCGCGCGCCAGGGAGGGGATCCGGCGCAGATCCAAGAAGTCCGCGCGGAGCGCCAAAAGTTTGTTTTCGTGCTGTTTTCTCTCCCTCTACTTCTGCCTCCTCGCACCCGGGAGAGAGATCGGCCCAGAGCCTCAAGGTTTCGGCAGTTTCGCTCACGAGGAGTTACCGATCTGAGCGCAACCGCTGTCGCCAAGGGCGGGCTCAGTTTGCGCGAGGGGCGCCCGGCTCTCGTGGCCGATCACATGGACGGGGCGTTGGGTTCTGTCGATGCCCGTCGCCCCTCGGATGTCCAGGCCCGGGGATGTGAAGCTGCCGCGCCTGCGCCCGCTGTCCATCGTCGGGCCCGTGCGCTCTGTGGACCGAACTGGCATCAGTATTGTTGAATGTCTGCGGTGCCTTGGGAAGGGGCGCGAAGTACCTGAACAAGTCTGCCCTGCTCGATTCCTTCCGGGATTGCGCTGCGAAATGTTAATATTACTAGGCTTCGCTTGTGTGGGGTGTTTACTCTGAGGGCGGCCATCGTGCACCTCCACCCTATGTGTGAGGTCCAAGGAGGGCCTCCAGCAGAGCGGGGACTCCTGCAAGACGTGGCGGGGCCGAGGGAGCAACCGCCAGACGCGATAGATACCCGACCAGATAATCGAGGGCAAAGCTCTCTGGTTGAACCAAAATGGGGTCCAGCGAAAAGGGGGTGATGCAATAGATCTGGTGCAATAGAAGATTTGGGGCGTGTGATACATTCTGGTGCGCAAATGTATTGCTGGGTTTACGCGTGCAAAGCATTCGTTGAAATACAACGCAATACAGTTCTCCAGCGCAGTATATTTGCATTACAATTGCCCCAAGTCTAATGCACCACCCCCTTTCAGCTGGAGTCCTCCTTTGGGTCAACCAAGAGCTCACGGCCAGGCAAGCGACAGGTAGGAGGATGATGACCAGTTTAAACTCAAGACTCATCTCAACGATGTTGCTATAAGCCCTCCCGCCAAGCTCCCTCTTCGTAGGCCCCTGCAAGGATTAATTTTTACTGATGGGAGCGCCCCATTGGAAAACAACAGTTTGGAATCTCTTGAATTGTGCCAGAACGCCATTTCTGGGACTCAACGCCGCGAATAACCGTTACTGTTGCGTCTCGACGGTCCTGCATCGTGGCAGAACACATTTCTGGGGCTTCAACACCACGAATCAACGTCACTGCTGCGCCCTGACAGTCCGACATCGTGCCAAAACACCATTTCTGGAGCGTTAGCCATGAAGATTTTTCAAACTGTTGTGAGCTCTTGTGGCGAATGTGCGCGGCGCTACGACGAGAGCCATACTTGAAAAGGAATCGCCCTCAATCCGTGACATTGTTGCAATTGTTCTGACGAACGTGCGTGGCGCTAAGGCGAGAGCCACATCTTGAAAACGGCCCGCCCTCCATCCGTGAATCTCTTGCAATGTTTAAAGCTAGTGTGCGTGACGCTAAGGCGAGAGCCACATTTTGAAAACCACCCGCCCTCCTTGAACGTCCTGCAAACTTGAAGACGGATGTGCGCGGCGCTAAGGCGAGAGCCACACTTTGGGAACCATTGGCCCTCCGTCCGTGAAACTGTTACACACTGCAAATCTCTAGGATCATAAACGGTGAGGAAGTCTCAGGCGAAATACCTGGCCCGCCCGTCCGACTGGCCTCAGGGTGCGACGGGGAGGAAATATGCATAAGGAAAGAGAATCTTGAAGAGGAGGAGGGGCAATGGCGGGAGGAGGAGGAGGAGGAAAAGGAGGAGCGGGAAGAGAATATCATCCGCGGAAGGGGCCCGGGAAGGCCCGGGGAGCCCGAAAAAGGCGAACAACATTCCAGCGCCCCTTCCCCCCTTCTGACTACATCGCCCCTCCGCCGAGGCTCGCAGTGACCAGAAACGCCCCGTTCGTTCCTTACTTGGGGCTCCTCAGGCGATCGCAAATATGGAACAAGGGGGCGTGGATTAGCGACGGGTCCCGTTTCCATGGGAAATCGCGCATTTCCGCCGCCGAGCGAGGCGGCACCGGCCGCATTTTGGGGAGGGCACCTCCCCCGATCCATGGATTTGGCGACCGCGCGCCAAATCCACGGATCACTAATCCATGTTTACGCGCCCGCGATAGACTCGAGGCCTCCACATTGCGGTCCGAGTAGATGGGGTCGGCGGATCGCGCCGCATCGCCCATGCATCGGCGATGCAGTTCGACATGGGGCTCGGTTTTCTCCGCGCCGGCGTCGCCGATTTCATCGCCGACGTCGCCGATGCATCAGTGTTGCACCAGCGATGTATCGGCCATGCGGCACGACTACTCGGACCCAGGTTTGGGAGGCATCAACACACCCGCCGGGCCCGATGCGTGCGCGAGCGTCGCGGTGAGGCCGCCGAGGAGTTGCTCGAGTGGCCCTCCGGAGTCGAGGGGCAGGCGCCGCTGAGGCCTCCCATGGGGCTCCCAAATCGATCCCCCGCTTCCCTGGCTCCCCCCCTCAAATCCGACCCCCCCCCCTCAACGTCGACCGACCCTCTCCTGCCCATCCACTCAAGATCTCTCCCCCGCCTCCCTTCCCATTTCGTTCCCCTGAGCGTCGATTCCCCCCTCCTCCTCCTGCTCCTCCTCCTCTTCTCGCCGCACCTGTTGGGAAGGACGAGGTTCGAGGTTCGAGATTCTGCTCGTTGGTTCTCTATCGTTCTCCAGCATTGGGATGCTCTCCGGCAGGGTCGCCGCGTCAGAGCGTTCCGTGGGATGCTCTCCAGCAGAGCCCCTGGAGGCCGAAAACACAGAAAAAGCCCGTCGTCGCGACTTCTCACAGCGGGAGGAGGCGGGGCGAGAGTGGGACAAACCCTCTACGGTTGGCGTTTGAAGGATCGCGTTTGAAGGAAAACATAGAAAAGCCCGTCGTCGCGATTTCTCACAACGGGAGGAGGCGGGGCGAGAGTGGGGACAAACCCTCTACGGTTGGCGTTTGAAGGATCGCGTGCGATGTGGCGCCGCCGGCCCGCTCATTTCCCTCCTCCTCCTCCTCCTCCTCCTCCTCCTCCTCCTTTTCCTCCTCCTCCTTTTCCTCCTCCACGCTGTCCCCCACCTTGGGGATGGCGTGCACCGAAGCGCCCTGGCAGGGGGACGGCGTGCACGGAGGTGCCCTCGCGGGGGACCGCGTGCTCGTCGGAGATCGATCCTGCACGCCGTCTTCCCCACGCCAACCAAAGCCCCGAGCCCCTCCTGGGCCGTCTTGGGGGGCCCCCTGGGCCGTCCTGGGCCCATCTTGGGCCGGCTCGGCAGCCGCTTTGGCCGTCTTGGTGCGAGCTCTGGGGCATCCGACGCCGTCCTGGAGCTTTGGAAGACCGGAAAGGTGAGACCGCGAAAATGCATCAAGCTCCGATAGGGTAGATGGCTTCTTGGTGCCATCTTGGGGGAGGCTCGGGCCGAATACCGAAAATTGGAGCTGGAGGATCGGCGTAAGGACCCTCCAGGCTATCTGTCCACCCTGTGTGGCCTTGCGGCCGAGCCATGTGTGACCTATTCGACCCCTGTGGCTGCACGTGGATGCGGTCGGCCATTCGATCGTTCGTCCTCGACTCTGTGCTCAGGCGGTGGCTTATCTTGTTGTTCCCCTGCGGTATCGTGGGCGGCAGGCCCGGGGGGAGGTGCGAGGGGACGGGCCCTCTCAGAAGGGCGGCGGGGCTGCTCAGAAGCCCTCCAGCCTGCTGAGAAGCCGCCTCTGTCCTCGGAGAAGGCCCAGAGAGCTTCTCAAGGCCTTTCGAGCCTTCTGAGAAGGCCCGCCTCCTCTGCACGCGAGGAGGAGGAGGAGGAGGAGGAGGAGGAGGAGGAGGCGGAGGAGGAGGAGGAGGAGGAGGCAACCCCGCGGCGCCTCCTGGCCATATCGCCCGCCTTCTGAGAAGGCCCGGGCTCACTGCCGATCTGGGACCGGACGAAGGGAGGTGGGCGGGGGGGGGGAGGCCACAGACATGCGACGCCCTGATTTTTTCCACGTGGCCCCCAGGGAGTCCCGGCCCTTTCCGCAGGACCAGTTTTTCATCTTGAGTCTTTTCTGAGGGTCAGCGAGCCCAGCGAGGGCCCCCAGACCCTCAGATCTTGGCGTTGCCGTTTTTTTCACAACGGGCGTTTTGCCAGGTCTCGTGCCCCAGGACCCTCGAGATCGATCCAGCTCGAAAAATGATGCAGGAAGATGGGGTCTGGGGCTCCGGTCGTGATTTTTTGAAACGTTGCAATTCTTTTGCAACGTCGGATCTCAGGGGAGGCCGTGGCAAAACACCACCACTCCTGATTTTTTCTGACGACGCGAGCACGTCTGTGATCGGGGAAGGTGTGGATCGAAGAAGAAAAACATCATAAACATAAGTTTTTTGGCGCTCCGCGTGGATTTTTCGGATCCGCGCTGGGCCCCCCCCGGCGGCGCTTCCCGCGCCGCGCGCTCCGCTCCGCGCTCCAGGGAGGGGGGTCCAGCGCAGATCAAGAAATCCGCGCGGAGCGCCAAAAACTTGAGTTTATACGCTGTTGTTGTTATGTTTACTCTTCTTCTTCTTCTTCTTCTCTTCTCCTTCCTCGTGTGGGTGCGAAAACCGCTGCGTGCAGCTGCCTGCAGCAGTCCTCCAGCGCCACCCGCATCCGGTCGCGGAGCGCCGAGGGCCTGGCGGCCGAGCGCCGGCGCCGGGCCGGCCGCGCGCCGCCCTTGCCCGCCCAGGCTCATGAGCCTGCCCGGCCAGGCGCCTCCCCGCGTCGCGGCCCCGCCCCGGGCCTCTCAGATTCTGCGGGGCGTGGAGACGACCACAGCCACTGCTTTTCTTGTGTTGCCGCCTTCCAGCCCGCAGAAACAGAGCAGCGGTTGTGGTCATTTTCGTTGAGCCTGGCACCAGGGCATTGACCACAACCACTGCTTCTTTTTCGGCCGGCGGGAAGGCGGCGCAAACAAGAAGCAGTGGCTGTGGTCATTTTCCCGTCCCGCAGATTCCTAGAGATCCAATTTCTTGGAAAAGTCAAGACGGAGGACCTTCGCCGATTGCGACCTCTGGAGGCCCTCGCTGGGCCCCAGGACCGTCAACAAACGACTCAGGATGAAAAGCCGGTCCTGGGGAATGGGTGGAGATTTCCAGGGACCGCGTAGTGGAAAAATCACGACATCGGATCTCTGGGTTCGGGGGCGGCCAAGGGGTGTGTGTGTGTGTGTGTGATGATTCGGGGGGGATATCATGGCTGGGGCCATGATATCTCCAGATCTTCGTGGCTCCTCTTCTGTTTCAATGCGCTTCCTGGCCCTCTTGGTCCGCGCACGTGCCTCGGGCCATGATTTGCACACACCATTTTTGAACGCCCCCCTCTTGGACGCCCCCGACAGATGGGCTCGGAGCAGGTGGGGTCTGCTCGCGCCGCACTGCCGATGCATCGCCGATGCGGCTCGATGCGGATCCCTTTTTTTTGCCACGCCGATGCATCGCCGATGCAGCGGCGGTGTCGCCGATGCATCGCCGATGCATCGTGCAGCTCGTCGACGCGGCGCGATCCTCCGACCCCACGTGCTTGGAACCCATCTGGGAGGCCTCTGCCCGCGCTTCAGGAGGGGAAAAAACACACAGACGCAATTAATTGTCGATTCCTCAGAAAATATGGGAAAACATGGAAGTGGGGGGGAACACAAAAACCCAGAAAATGTAGGAAAATATGGGGGGATCCTGTGATTTGTGTGAATTGATCTGTGTGTCCCAGGGCCCCTTCAGCGCTCCCGACCAGGGGCCGCGGCCCCGGCCCGCGGGCCGCGCTCCCGGCCGGGGGTCGCCTCGTCGTCGTCGGGGCGGCTCCTCCACGTGGCCGCCCTCGGCCGCGGAACGAGAGGTCACGGCGGCCCCCCCTGCTTCCTCCTCCTCCAGCTGCTTCCTCCTCCTCCAGCTGCTTCCTCCTCCTCCTCCTCCTCCTCCTCCTCCTCCTCCTCCTCCTCCTCCTCCTAGGCCAATAGGTTTGTTCAGCTCAGTCTACCGAGTATGGTGTCGAGCTCGTCGTCCGCTTTCCGTCGCCTGGGAGGCTGGCCACCCTCGTTCTTACCTTGCCGCCACTGCTCTCTGTGGTGCTAACGACGTCGTTTGGCGTCAAGCTGTGCGTAGTGAGCTCGGCTCGGAGTCAGGAAAGGTGATATCGCGGTCAGAGCTCTTTGGGATCTTCACAAGTTTACGAGCGGATCCGTTTGGACATCCTCCTGGAGCGGGCCGACCTCGTGGACTTCCCCTCGGGCTCTGGTCAAACTGGCGGTCCAGGCCTATAGAGGGCCCAGGTTCCTGGCGCTTTCCAACATGGTCGACGGGCGTCACTTCGCATGGCTAGGTGTTATTGCAGGTTGCCCCTTTGCCACCACCTTCGTCAGGATTTTCCTGACCCCGCCTTGGACCTCCTGGTTTTGCCAAAGTGCCTCCACCTCACTGTATACATAGATGATGGCAGCATGTCAGGCTCAGGACCAGAACGTTTCGTACCAGGTGAGGTCAAGAAGTTATCAGGACAGTTAGGCGACATCATCCGGAACGAGTTACACAGCACCATTTCCGTGGGCAAGGCCGCCCTCATATGCTCGTCTGCCAAGTTGGGAGAGAGCTTGCGCTTTTTCGTCGGTGGCCTTGGAGGGACTTCCAAGTCAGCTGTCGGCCTCGGTGTGGACGACACCGTAGGCAGGCCACGCACGCGACCCAACAAGTGATAAGGAGTGACTCAGGACCCTCAACATTCGTGTCCGTTGTATCCGCCGTGCTCGCGATGTTTTGGGTCGCCACGCTAAGAATATTTGAATATCTGGGGGACTTTCAGCAGCTACCTATGGCAGTGAGATGCACGGTGTCTCAGATCTTGAGATGGGCAACTTCAGGAGAGCCTTTGGGAGATGTGTGAAACCGTCGGCTGGATCTAGATCTCTTACCGCACCTACCATCATTGAAAGCGACCCCTGCTGGTACCCATCGGTCGCCCCCATTGTCAGATACGTGACGGAAATTTGGAGCAAACAGCTGCGCGATTTCAGTTTCTCGGTGCCTTTCCACCAGCTGCGTGAGGCATGGGCCCATGCTTTTAAATCTCGGATTGGATGGGACATGGAAGATTTTGCGGCCCTGGTTTCAGATTTCGGTGTCAATCTTCCCCTCACCACCATTTCCCCGAAGTTAGACATACAGCTTTTGCATTCAGGGTTTCTTCGAGGACTTCAGAGGGCGGCAGGCTCCAAGTTATTTTTCCAGGACAGAGCTTGCTTCGACGTGGTGTGCGCCACGCTCCGCATCAAGAAGCTCACGCCGCATGATAATGGCTGTGTCAAGGCCCTCTTCTGCGACGCCATCTGGTCGAGGACCAGAGCAGTTCAGGCAGACTACGAGTTAGAGTCCGACATCTGCCCGCTGTGTTTGTCCGAGGCCGACACCATCATCCACTGTCTCTGGCAGTGTTCGGCAGTCTTAGAGGAACGAGGAGAAATTGTCCCTCAAGGTATCATCAACGAGGCCCTCTCTTTGGACCCCAACGAGGATCGGTTCCAGTTGTTCACTCGTGCTGGTTTTCCCCATCAAGGAGATCGGCTCGAAGGACCAGCTGAGAACGAAGGCATTATTATTTCCTGGGCCGATGACCACCCACTTCGACCACTACTGAGATCCAGGGACATGTGTTTGTTGGACGGGTCAGTTTTTAAACCTACTGTATCGGAGCTCGGCAGATCGGGGTGGGGGCTTGCGGTTTTAAGCGATGCTGGGGATCACGTTGTTTCCATTTCTGGGCCCACGTGGGCCGATTGTCCCCAGACCTCCCAGGCGGGAGAGTTCGGCTCCCTGTCCGCGGGTAACGAGATCCTGGTCGGCCTTTCCCAGGGCTACAGTGATTGCCTCAATGTCGTCAAGGCTTTCGCCCTCCCGCCAGCTTGTCAGATCTCGTACAAGAGGCCCGATGCAGGCATGGGATGCGTCATTTTCGTTTTTTAGCATTTGTTTTATTTTTGTGTTGTTCTTCTGTCCACGAAGTCAAGGCGCATCTCAGTGACAGTCCCGACCTCACGACTGTCGAAAGTTTCTGTAAGAAGGGTAACGACCTGGCTGATGCTGCAGCCAAGCAGGGCGCTACAGCACACCCTCGCCACTCTGAAACAGATTTAAAACAGGTCGACTATGATGTAAGCATTGTCCATTTAGTATGCAAGCTGGCCTATATTCGGATGCCGCTCTGGCCCAGGCTTGACCTGTCGGGCGTTTCCCGTGTTGTTTCTGCCCTCGGCGCCGAAAAGCACAGTCTCGTTGCTTCGCGACCGGGCCTGGCTCGGAAAGTTCTGGAGGTCAGGCGTGTTTTCGTTTTAAAAGAGGCAGGCGGACAAGCCGTCCACCAATGGTTGCCCTGGCAAGCTGCCAGATGTGGCCACCTCTGTTGCACCAGCCGCCTGGTATTCCACCATGCTGTACCTCTGTGCGAATTGCTCCGGCTATTCCAGCGGAGGGCAAGTCAAGACGTTGCGGAATCAATGCCTCCCGCTGGACCCTCGCGTGCTCACTAAGTCAGCGGCTGCAGTGTTGAGATCCCTCAAGAGAGGGCTCCATCCCAAAGACAGCTCTGTCACGTGCGAGTTTTGGTGACGCGTCTGCTGAAGCTTGGCGCGAAGAGTTCGGTCAGGAGGTTGGCGGGGAAGGCTCTTCCTGCCCCGCCGCTGCGAGCGCCGTCGTCGCTGCTGCGGCTGGGCCCCCACTCGGGCACGAGGCCCCGGCCCCTGACGCGAGCTTCTTGTTTGACGACGAACAGGGTGACGAGGAAGCCTCCAGACTCCTTCTCTCTGGAGCTTGCGAGTCTCAGGCATCCGTACCCGCGATGCAGGGACGCGCCGCCTCGTCGGCCTCCGTCCCGGGCTCTGTTTTGATCCCGCGTCGTGTGACTTGCGATGGCTCTGATTCGGGGTCGTCGGGCTGACGCTGGGGCTGGCCGATGGCTACGGGGCATCCTCCCTTTTTGGGAAATGGCCCTGTGGCTTTCTGCCTGCCCTCGACGTGCGCCAGTCCCCTCTTCCTCAGGTCATTTGGAGTCGGCTCCGTGTGGCCTGCAGTCTTGCCTGCTGCTGACAGCAAGCACCTGGCCTATTTCAAAGATCCTCCTCCTCCTCCTCCTCCTCCTCCTCCTCCTCCTCCTCCTCCTTCTCCTCCTCCTCCCCCTCCTCTCGTCGTAAAAAGATGACGGCGGGATGTTGTTTTGGCCGTTTTCGGTTTTAGAGGCGCTCTCCGGGTCCCAGGACGACAAATAATGGCCCTGGATAAAAGAACGGTCATTTGGGAAGTGGGCCAGACCTCTGGGGGTCGACGTTGCGACAAAAGTCACGACAATGGAGCGCAAGGTCTTGACCTACGTACCCATGCGCTCCACAGTGCTTTCGGGCGAGCTGGCGTCTCTACATTATAATGTTACCATGTTCATTGGCAGTTGGTTTATTGCTCATTTCTGATTTTACCAGCCCGAGTCGTATCCTTATCCTTATGATTGGCATCGCCTTGTCTCTATGCCGATTTTGAGGGCTCCTTCAGTTTCTGAGGGCGCATCCTCAAGTTTGTCATCGCATTCGGCATGTCGATCGTAGGGGTAGGGGTAAGTTCGAGGCTGGTTATCCTCATCTTCCTCCGTGTTCAGATGCTGCATCGAGGAGCCCCCATTCCCATCACAGGGAAGCATGAGGAGGGGAGGGAGGGGGCGACTGTCAGTGTCGGATCTCACGTGTCAGTGTTTCTGGCTTGAAGGCTGGAATTTCTTGCTTGAGTTTTGTCTCAGGCCCGCTGGTATTGAACACGCGGCTGTTGAAGGAGGTTCCCCAAAGACTGTTTGCACTTAGGCTTTTTTCTCAAAGGAATTGAGATCCGCCGCCAGGTCCGCTGCCTCGTGGTCGCCGTCGCCGCCCTGTCGCCGCCTCTTCGCCGCCCGTCGTCTGGGCTCCGCTGCTGGGTCCGCCGCCTGATGGTCGCCGTCGCCGCCTCGCCGCCGCGCGTGTAATCTGGGCTCCGCTGCTGGTTCCGCCACCTTGCGGCCGCCGTCGCCGCTGAAAGCCGCTTTCACACCTTTTCTCTCCATGCCTGTTTCTCGCTTTAGAAATCTCGATCCCTCTCTCTCTCTTTCTTTTTTATTTTTTTCTCTCTCTCTCTCTCTCTCTTTCCCTCTATCTCTATATCTATATGTATCTGTATATATATATGTGTATAGTTCCATTTCGTTCCATGCTCTCTCTCTCTCTCTCTTTCCCCTGCCTCTTTATCGTTTCATTGGTTTGATCATCTGCCTCTCTTACTCTTACTCTCACTCTCTCTTTCTCTCGACTTCTTCACCCCTCCACTTCGCTATCCCTCTCGCTTCGTCAGCCGTCCTCAGAAAATTTTGTTTTGTTCGTTTTTCCTCTCTCTCTCGCTCCCTCTCTCTCTCGAGGCTTCAAAGCTGCCCGTTCTCTCTCTCTCTCGTTCTGTCTCTCCCTCCCTTCCTCGCTCTCACTGTTTGTTGTACTCGTATGTTGTCTCTTTCTCTGTACATGTGTTTCTTTCTTTTTCTCTCTCTGCAGTCGCGGGTCTTTGGCCTTCTGGGTCTTTGGCCCAGCGCGCGGCCAGGACACGAGGCGCCCAGCACTTCTGTTGATCGCGTCACGAGACTGGGCACGTGCCACCCATCACGTATCCGCACGCGCCATGGCTCCGAAGGGTCCTCGCCGCGCGCCTCCTGCGCCACGGCAGCCCGAGCCGCCAGGCACAGTCCGCCAAAAGACAACCCCACCCGACAGCGACCTGCCCCGAAAGGAAGCCCGCGTCGCCGCCCTCCAGGGCAGGGGTGGCGTCGACCGAGCAGCCGCTGCACACAACGAGCTCGCTCACAAGTATCACGCCGATCTCGGCACCAGGTACCAACAGCACCGTTCCGACCAGCGCAGGCCCAGGAGCGAGCTGATTTGATTTGTGCGGGCAAAACAAAACCACCTACACCATGCTGCGATACCCCCTCGCGCGCATCAAGACCCTATAACGTGACCCGACAGGGCAGACCAAGACCCGTTGAGCCCTGAGGGCACGCATTCGCGCGCACGGCGTCCTTTCCCTTTCTTTTCCCCCGGGCTTGCGTGTATGTAGCCCCAATTCGACGACGTATGGGCCAGCATGAGCGTGATGTCAGGAGTGTGAGCAAATGGTGCCAGCTTCAGAGTTGAATTGGGCTTGGTCCATCCCCTCATGAGCCGCTTCCCTCAGACTGCATTATGGGCTCCGCATCCGAGCTCTGGTGCCACCACCGTTCCCTGCTTGGCGCTCCCACGGGCGCCCCGTTCTGTTAACTACGCCGTCCTCTTCCGCCTCCCGCTGATGGTTTATACGAGGTTTTGGGCGTTTGGGGGGAGCGCTACCCCATCCACCTCCCTCCCTATCATTTCTACCCTCCCCTCCTCCCAACATCGTCGTCCTCCTCGTCTTCGGCATGTTTTGGCATCGGACGACGCCCTTGACTGGTCCACGTGCCCACTAACTGTCTGCAGCACGGGCGTTGGAGTTTGTCAGTCTGAGGATGGATGGTACGCTTCACGATGCGAGCCCTCCTCTCAGGAATGCCCAGCGTGATGCCACATAGGTCACGTAATGTGCATCCACCCCGTCGCGAGGGTACTGTAATTCACATGTTTTCCGTTTTCAGCATGGACACAGGAGTCAAGGGACTTGGCCCTGGCTGTGGGATCCTTGCGCGACCTATGCACACATCCAGAAGCATACCTCGCCCCTGCACGCCCCCCTCAGCTTCGCTCGGGATTATTGCGTACCCTTGGCACATGAACTGCCCCTCGGCCGTTGCAATTGGGTGTTTTCGGATCCTCTGATTCCAGTCTAATGTAGGCGCCTTCTTATTTCAAGGATCGGATGGCTTTCTCTCTTATTTCGTCTAAAAGGGGGCGGGCGGAGTCCCAACCTACTTTCAACGACTTCCTTCTTCATGTTTCCACTAACTTCTTCCGACCGATGGGTAAGCCACCCGCGGGGGCGCCACGATAACCGCGCTTTGAGAGCGTTTGCGTGGCTGCGCGGTTGCCAGAGCGGCTGCGCGGTTGACATATCTCCGAGGAGGGTGGGGGGCGGACGGAGGACGCGAGGGCGCGAAGATGGTCGAGGGGCGCGAGGCGCGAGGCGCGGAGTTAGGTGGCCTGGATCCTGGCCCTCCGTGCCCCGGCCCTGACATCCGCCGATATGCTATTTTAAGCCCGCGGCCCCAGAAGTCCCAACCGCGTCCCCATGGGTGGGTTTTTCGTCCCCCAGATCCGTACCAGGGCCCGCTGTAGTGGTCGGTTCGACTTGCAACGCTTGCAGCAGTTGCAGGGTGGTTGCAACCCACCTGGAGGGCACCTGCAAGTGTGTTGCAGGTCCGCCTAACTGCTCTAAGTCTGAGTAAGTCATGGACCCAACTTGGAGCAGCTAGGCGGACTTGCAAGCAACTTGCAGGCACCCCGCAAGTGGCCCGCAACCGCATTTGCAACTGTTGCAAGCCACAGCGGCCGCCGCAGCGACGATGGCCCCCGCGGGCCGACATGGAGGCAGAACCCGCCAGCCGCAGAAATCCCATCGCTAGAGATCTGGAGAGGGGGAGGGAGGGCCGCTCGTGGCCCTCCCTCTCCCCTGCGAGCAAGACTCGCGCGCCCCTCGGGCCCGCGGAGCGCGGTCGGGCTCCCTGCTCCCCGCCTCGGGCAGAAGCGCCCAGCGACGCGCGCCGCGCGGCCCCCCTCGCGCTCCCGCCGCCGCCCGCAAGGGGGAGCCGCCGGGGGGTACTTCACTCCTCCGTTCGCGCCAGAATGGCGGGGATGCCTCGGGCGGCTTGCCTGTCCCAAGGCCCGACGTCCTCCGCTGCCGGAGCAGATTTGGAGGATGGTTCGAGCGAGGCGCTCGCTTTCGCCCCCAAGGGCCGGGGGGGGGGGCCGCCGAGCGGCCCTCGGCCGCGACGCGCGGGGCGCGCTCGCCGTCGCACCCCCCCCCCCGCCCGGCACCCCCCCGCGGCCCGCGGGGGGGGGGCTGCTCTCCCTCCCTCCCCTTCCCTCCCTCCTCCTCCTCCTCCTCCTCCTCCTCCTCCTCCTCCTCCTCCTCCTCCCCCTCCCCGCGGGCGCCCCCCCCCCCCCCGCGCAGACGCTCTTCTCCGTGGACTCGGGCCTCGGCACCTCGGTCTCCGGGCCCCTGCCGGAGGGGATCGAGGAGCGGCGCCCTTCTCGGGGGCAGCGGCAGGAGTGATCATATGGGGGAGGCTGGAGGGTTTCTCCGAAGGGCTTTGGCGACCCGTCCTCGTCCTCCTCCTCCTCTTCCTCCTCCTCCTCCTCCTCCTCCTCCTCCTCCTCCTCCTCGGGTCGCCCACGGCCCCGCGGGAAACCGTGCAGGGGAGGCATCGACCCCCAATCGCCCATTGAGCGCCGATGGGGGCCCGACAGCCCCGCCCCGCCCAGGAACGTTGGGATTCGCTATCAGGGGCCTGTCGCCGATCTTAGATCGGCGACAGGCCCCTGATAGCGAATCCATCGCCGATAGATCATCTATCGGCGATGTATCGCCGATTCCAAGTCGACGTTCCCCCCACCCCCTTATGCCATTCCCCCCCACGTCGACGTTCTACCAGAGGTGCCCCTGGCCCAAAGTGCCCCCAGCTCTTCGCTCCATTCCGGAGCCCCTGGTGGATGGCTCAGAGATGGGTTCCTGAGGGACCTAGGAACAGGAAGGAATCCGAAGGTTTACATACATTGTTTGAGGCACCTCGTCATTAAGACCCCATCCCTTAGGACCCCATCTTTGAACCACCGACTTGGGGTCCTCTGGGTGTCTTGAGGAGTGCTCTGGAGGCCGTCCAGGCCACCCCGGGAATCCTGGGAGCATTGGGCCAGGGGCACTTCTAGCAACACCCGACTGGCGTCGACGTCAACGACGACTCGTCGGCGACGACGTCGCTCCCGCCGCTGTCAGCGCCGCCGTCGTTCCCAGATCCCTGGTGATCTGATTTTTTTAGCTGGTGGGAGGAGGAGGAGGAGAAGGAGGAGGAGGAGGAGGAGGAGGTTTTCTTGACTGCGGCCCTCGGGACCATGGTCAGGCCCCGAGGCCACCGAAAACGGACGCGGGATGGAAGCTGCCCCTGGCCCGGGGAAGCGGTCGGGGCTTCTTGGGCCGCGGACTGGAACATCAGATCGTCGGATGTCTCGGGGGTGGATAGACCTCCTACCCTGACACGTCGATTAGTGAATTGGCCGTTTTCGGTTCGCGAGAGGGCGTCGCGGCCGTTATTTTTGCGGGTCCAGGTCCGTCGGTTTTGGTCCCAGGCCGTTCTCGCTAAGGGGAGGTTTACTAAATGGAGGTTTGTCCACCGCCGAATGTCAGGGTTTGGTGCTGTTCGGAGGTTGCTAGAACCCACCCCCTGCCAAGTCGAGTACAGCGAGCGGCTTGAATACGGAACGCTTAGTTTTCAGAAGGGGCTCGGTCGTTCCCTCAGGCTTGCATGCGTTACCTATTGTTCCTTATGCGTTATGCATTATGTATCGTTCCTTATGCGTTATTCCTCAGGAAAAAGGGGGCTTCGTTCTTTATGTATCGTTCCTAAGGTCAGGCCGATGACTGTATCGAATTTGCCTTTCTTCCAATTCTCGTCAGGGCATTGCGGCCGCAGTGCTTGCCGGACTGCGCCCGCGGCCCCTGGGGTCGTTTTCTCGAAGAGGTGTTTTGCTAAGAGGTGCTCTGGCCATCCCGAACAGAGGTAATGGGAGTCACTCGAGAACACATTCGTGAGTAGAGCATGATCTTGACTGCTTGGTTTTCCACTGCGTGGCACGTTGTTTCGCTTTCTGGCGCTGCGGCGCCCGCCTGCAGCGCCCTCGATGGCGTGCACTCGAAGGTTCTGTCTGTCTGTCTGTCTGCTCTGGCCATCCCCGAGCTTATTGTTCCGCCGAACCCGCTAGCGTGTCTGGGTTGTGGACCAGATACCTCTCAGATGCCTCTCGGGACCTCTTGGGAGGCCTCTTTGGGGGGCCTCTTTGGAGGCCTCTTTGGGGCCTTCTGGGGCATCTTAGAGGGATCGTGGCTTGGGAGGCCCTGGACGCTTGGGAGCAGCGCCTTGGAATGCGGGACGTGCGCGATCCTCACGCGGGTGCGCGTGGGATGAAGGGTCTAGGAGTCTAGGAGGTAACAGCAACGCGAGAAGTGCGCAGTCTTCGAGCGGGCGCGCATGGAATGAGGGTTCAGGCATTAGCTACCATGCGGGAAGTGCACAATTCTCGAGCGGGCACGCGTGGAATGGGGGACTTGGTATAGGCTGCCATGCTGGAAGAGTCGTTTCCTCCCTTCTGTGGAGGCCAGATAGTCAGAGTTTAGTAGCCTGGCTCGACATCTTCTGGCAAATACAGCTACCGTGCTTGAAGCCAGACACAGTGTCAAGAGGAAGCTCACAGAGCGCTTTACACGTTGTGTTTTCCCTACGTCGGAAACAAAGGTGTCGTTCGTGTCAACGTCGCCCTGCCCCGCGTCACGCTGGAGACAGAACGGACCACGGGTGCTTGCAGCCCTTAGGGCAGGCGCGTCCCCGGGCAAGAGCCACCCCACCATAATGGGTGCACTCGGCCCGTGGGGGTGGGCACATAATTCAAAGATGCTTGTGCCCTTGTTACAGTGTTTCGACAAGTTGTATTCGCTGTCACATTCTCCATATTCCATTCACTTGCTTGTACTTTGTTGCGTTGTTTCGATAATACTGCATTCAGTGTTGCAAAGGCGGTTGTCTCTCATCAAGCGATCTGGTCAATCATAAGGCAAACTTCTGGTTATCAGCCGAAAGTCTCTCCAAGAGCTCGTCTTCGGTGGTGCAGCATTTTTCCCATCAGCCAGAGTAGTAGCAGTGGTCGCTTTACCAAAGAGGGGCTTCGCACGTGCGCTCTGAGTGTGGTGCCCGAGAACCGGGATACGACGTCGGCTCCGCCGTCCTGTGCTCCAGTCGATGCTCTGGTCACAGGGGCGGGGGTCGGATATTCAAGGAAAAAGGGGGCACCTGCGGCCAAGCCGCCAGGTGCCGACGATGTCACGAAAGAGGGGGCAGTCGTTTCCTCCCTTCTGTGAAGGCCAGATAGTCAGGGTTTAGTAGCCTGGCTCGACATCTTCTGGCAAATACAGCTACCGTGCTTGAAGCCAGACGCAGTGTCAAGAGGAAGCTCACAGAGCGCTTTACACGTGGTGTTTTCCCTACGTCGGAAACAAAGGTGTCGTTCGTGTCAACGTCGCCCTGCCCCGCGTCACGCTGGAGACGGAACGGACCACGGGTGCCTGCAGCCTTGAGGGCAGGCGCGTCCCCGGGCAAGAGACACCCCACCATAATGGGTGCACTCGGCCCGTGGGGGTGGGCACATAATTCAAAGATGCTTGTGCCCTTGTTACAGTGTTGCGACAAGTTGTATTCGCTGTCACATTCTCCATATTCCATTCACTTGCTTGTACTTTGTTGCGTTGTTTCGATACTACTGCATTCAGTGTTGCAAAGGCGGTTGTCTCTCATCAAGCGATCTGGTCAATCATAAGGCAAACTTCTGGAAGTGCACCATCCTCGAGCGGGAACGCGGGAAGTGGCCTCAGAAAAGGAGGGGCGGTGTAGAATTCAAAAACCCAAGACAGACCTTGGAATTCTTTCACGCCTCAGCGTGCCAGGGGGCCCGGAGGCGGATTTGCAGGGGCTTTTTGCGTGTATTCATTTTCATACACGCGTACACTGACCCAGTTGGGTCTTCCCCTCCACCCAGGGCACCCAGAGTGCATTTTTAAGGGCCCCAGTCACGCAGGATGCATCTCCCGGAGGTTCGATTCGGCATTGGCGCTGGTATATGCATGGTCGGAAACAGGCCTGATCCAGCATAATCTCGCTCGATCCGGTTTGATTCCGCTCAATTGGGCTTTATCCCCCGTTTCTTCTTGCATATTCTGGCTTTGCGGCCCCTCAGTCTGGCTCATTAGCCTCTTGAAGTCACTTGCTGAACATCCTTCCTGGCTTGATAGCCTCCCAACGTCACCCTTGATAGCCGGCTCAACCCTGGCTTGATAGCCTTCTTCATTCTTCCGAAGACCCTGCAGAAGTTGCCCCTCCTAAAGTCACTTGCTGATCCTCCCCCCCAACAGCCGCGCGCCGAAGAGGTACTTCCTGGACGGCCAGACGGTGATCCGGCCCGGGATCCGCGGCGACTGCTGCGTGATGATCCTCAGGGGGGAGGCGCACCTGCCAGCCCACGGCCAAGGGAGAAGGAGAACATGTTCTGGAGGGCTTCGCCAGTTTGAGTTTCGTTGTGCGGCTAAACGTTTTCGGACGTTTTCGTTGGCTCCTGTAGGCTTTCCTGCCTCGGGATGCGCACCGGCAGCTGCGCCTCACCGAGAGCGCTCGGGGGGGACCAGATCGTCACGAACGGCCGCCAGACATTTGGGCTATGACCCGAGAGCCAAGGAGGGGTCGGCGTCACGCCGTGCCGGCATCTCGCGAGGACCGAGATGTCGGGGAGCGTTTTTTTTGGCGCCAGGAGGGGGTGGCTTCTCCAAACTCCCGAGCAGTCCCAGCCCCCTCGGCCATCCCCCTCCCCCCAGTGTGCTTATGGCTGCCGTCGCGTTGCCCCGCAAGAGCGCACGCGAACAGATCAGATGTAGGTGCGAAAGCTACCGCGAGCAGACGAGAGCAGGCACGAAGCATCATCATGATCATAATCATCATCATCATCATCATCATCATCATCATCATCATCATCATCATCATCATCATCATCATCATCATCATCATCATTATCATCATCATCGTCATCAGAATCATCATCATCATCATGATCATCATCATCATCATCACCATCACCATCACCATCACCATCACCATCACCACCATCATCATCATCAGCATCATCATCAGCATCAGCAGCAGCATCAGCATCAGCATCAGCATCAGCATCAGCATCAGCATCAGCATCGTCGTCATCATCGTCGTCATCATCATCATCTGTAGTATTGTTACCATTGTAATTGTTTATATTATTGTTGTTGCTATTAGTATTAGTATTAGTATTAGTAATTTTAGTATTAGAGTACTATTCATAATTATTATTTTATCATTAATGTTATTCCGTAAGGGCTTGGCCCCATGCCGCCAGCCCCCTGTCTCGGAGAATGGGAGATGCAAAAGCTAAATCATGAGGTCTGGGTGCCGCCGTGAAGCAGTGTCGGGACCTGTTTGTTTTTCGACCCTGACCCCGCCGATCTGCGTGAGGGGTGCCAGCAAATTTCAGAAATGTGGCAACTCCGTTGTGTTTTTGCACCCTGACCCTACGGATCTGCGTGAGGGGTGCCACCGAATGTCAGACATGTGGCAACTCCGTTGTGTTTTTGGACCCTGACCCCGCCGATCTGCGCGAGGGGTGGTAGCAAATTTCAAACATGTGGCAACTCCGTTGTGTTTTTGGACCCTGACCCCGCCGATCTGCGAGAGGGGTGCAACCGGATTTCAGAAATGTGGCAACTCCGTTATTTTTTTGGACCCTGACCCCGCCGATCTGCGTGAGGGGTGCAACCGGATTTCAGAAATGTGGCAAATCCCTTGTGTTTTTGCACTCTGACCCCGCCGATCTGCGTGAGGGGTGCAACCAGATTTCAGAAATGTGGCAACTCCGTTGTGTTTTTGCACTCTGACCCCGCCGATCTGCGTGAGGGGTGCCACCGAATTTTAGAAATGTGTCCAATCCCATGTGCTTTTGGACCCTGACCCCGCCGATCTGCGTGAGGGGTGGTAGCAAATTTCAAACATGTGGCAACTCCGTTGTGTTTTTGGACCCTGACCCCGCCGATCTGCGTGAGGGGTGCCACCGAATTTTAGAAATGCGGCCAATCCCATGTGCTTTTGCACCTGACCCCGCCGATCTGCGTGAGGGGTGTTAATTTTTACCCACCCCAGCAATTCAGAGCATACGTTTTGGCTGTGGTAAAAATGTCCGTTTTGTGCCTCCCCCCCTCGCGCGGTCCATCAACAAGGAACAGTAAGCAGCAAGAAGCAGAACTGTAACAAGGAACAGTAAGCAGCAAGAAGCATAACTGTAACAGTGGAAACTGGAAGCTGCAACTGGTACAGGAAGCTGCGAACCTTAGGCCTACAGCCTGGTGGCCCCGCACGGGGGCTGGCGGATATTCTTGCTATTCTTATCATCGTCGTCTTCAGCTTCATCTTCATCTTCATCTTCATCATTGTCGTCGTCATTCTGACCGAGCGCACGCATCGTCGTCATCATCACCACCACCGTCCACAACAGCACCCACATCACCACTGTCAGCGTCAGCTCGAGAGGGGAGCGCGCCCTCTCCCTGGCCCCACGCTTGCCCTTCTGTGCTTTCCTCCCCGTCCCTCCACATGCCGCCGCGCCGTTTGTTCCGACGCGCGGCCTCACGTCTTGGGGAGGGCGCCGCGGCCACTGGGGCAAACGCCACCTCGGGCGCGGTGGGTTTGCCGCGGTGCCGGCGTCGTCTGCCTGGGCCCCGGGCGCAGGGCTTGCCGCCGGTTTGCCGTAGTGTCGGCGTCGTCCACTTGGGCGCTCCGAGGGCAAACGACGCGGCGACACATTCGTGCATTCCATGCTTTTCTCCCCGTCCCTCCACACTCTTGCAGTCTGACCGAGGTATAAGATCGAGGTCGGTTCGGGGAGGGTACCCTAATGTTCTTCGTGTTTGTTGGATGCTCCTGCGAATCCTGGGGAGGGTACCCGTGGACGTTCTGTGTGCTTTGGCCAGCGGAGGGTCCCATGTTCTTGGAGGATGCTCTTCTGCCCCAGGTCCGACCGTAATCCGCCGGCGGCGCCGCCGAGAACACCCGACTACAGCACACCGAGCCCGCGTCTGGCCGACGTGCTGCGCCCTCCTGCTCGGTGCCGGGCCTCCCCCCCGGTCGGGCGGTGCGCGCCTGGGTGGGTGCGCGCCCCCCATCGTCCTCCTCATCCGCTTCCTCCTTCTCCTCCTCCTCCTCCTCCTCCTCCTCCTCCTCCTCCTCCTCCTCCTCCTCCTCCTCCCTCCCTCTCTCCTCCCTCCTCCCTCCTCCCTCCCTCCTCCTCCTCCTCCTCCTCCTCCCTCCTCCTCCTCCTCCTCCTCCTCCTCCTCCTCCTCCTCCTCCTCCTCCTCCTCCTCCTCCTCCTCCTCCTCCTCCTCCTCCCGGCCTCCCGCCGGTCGGGCCATCGCAGGCGGCGCCCCCCATCGTTCCTGGCGCGAGTCTGCTGGGCGAGGCCGAGTTGGAAGGGCTAAGAACGCTGTTGGTCGCTGCATCCTACGGCCAGCCCGCCCAGTGAGGATGAGCGGCTTTCCAAGGTTGCCCTCGCATCCTTCCCCGTCGGCCCATCCTTGGCCGCTTTCGCTGGCCGCGCCCCAACCCGCGGAGTGTCGACGTGGCCTTCCAAGGCACTCGCGTCCTTATCGTGCGTCCTTCTTACACGGGTTGACTATCGTCGTCGTCGTCGACGACGTCGTCGTCGTCGCTGTCGTCGTACGATCGCTGTTGGTCGATGCATCCTACGATCACGCGAAGCCGGTAGCGTACATGGTCCTGAACACGAAGTCGTTCGTAGAGCCGACCGTGGGCACGGCTCGGGAGTGGAGACCCGTCACGCATTGGGCCTGCCAGTGGGCAGACCTCTGGGGCGGCCAGGAGGGGGGTGATGACTGGAGGGGGTGGATATCATGGCGGGGGCCACCCCCTGGGCCTCGCACATGCCGCCAGCCATGATTTGCACCCCCGCCCTCTTGGAAGTCCCCCTCTTGACCGCCCCCGAAGACCCCATGGCCTCTCGAGCAGGAGTGAGGCCTTCGTGACGAGGTACACGAATGCGGATGCCCTGACACGAGCCAGATCCAGGGCTGCACGCCCAGAGGATGCCAGCACGGAGGCCTCTCTCGGCGTCCTTCCAGGACCAGAACCACCACGGGGCCGTGGTCATCTCATGTCCCATTTCCTCGTTGCTGGCCATCTCGTCGACCGCAATCATCGATCTGATGGGGCATTGCTGTGAGCAGATCGCGGCGTGTACAATCTGGTGTTGATTTCGCTTCGTGCACGCCCGTTAGGGTCCGCCCGACCCGCTTGGTCGGATCCGCCCGCCCGACCCACCTGTTAGGATCCGCCCGCCCGACCCGCCCATCGTGGATGTCTGCTGGGTGGATTGCACACTACTTCAATGTCCCGCCCGACCCGACCCGCCCCCCTTCTAGTCCGCCCGATCCACCCGACCCGTCCATTTGGGTCCGCCCGCCCGGCCCGCCGCCCGCCAGATCCGCCTGTTAGGATTGTCGTTGCCGTCCTTGCCCACAGTCGTCGTCATTGTCGCTCTGGTCAACCTCGACGTTGCCGTTGTCGTTGTCGTCGGCGTCGCCCTCGTCGTCGTCGTCGTCGTTGTCGTTGTTGTTGTTGTCGTCGTCGTCGTCGTCGTCGTCGTCGTCGTCGTCGTCGTCTCGTCATCGTTTTCGTCGTCCTCGTCCGTCGTCGTTGTCGCTCTCCTTGGCGTCGTCTTCGTCGCTCGCTTCGCTCTCGTTGTTGTCGCCTTCGTAGATGTCTGGTTGGATGGATTACACAATACTTCAATGTCTCGCCCGACCCGACCTGCCCGCTTGTTAGGGCCCGGCCGCCCGATCCGCCCGTTCGGGTCCGCCCGCCCGACCCGCTGGTGAGGGTCCGCCCGCCCGACCTGCCCGCCGGGGTTGTCTTCGCCGTCGCTGCTTCGTCTTCGTCATCGCCGATGTCTGCGTTGTCCTCGTCGTCGCCCTCGCCGTCTTGTCGTCCTCGTCGCCCACGTCGTCGTCCTCGTTGTTGCTGTACTCGTCGTCGTCCTCGTCGGGCGTCGTCTTCGTCGTCGTGGTCGCCCTCGTTGTCGTGGTTGTCCTCGTCGTCTTCGTCGTCCGTCGTCGTCAGCGTCGCCGTTGTCGCTCTCGTCGCTCTCGTCGTCGTCGCCACAATCGTAGATATCTGCCTGGATGGATTTCTCATTATGTTAATGTCCTGCCCGACCCGACCCGCCCGTCCGTTGGCGTCCATCGTCCGAACGGCTAGTCAGGGTCCTCCGCCCATCCACCCGTTATTGTTGTCGTCGCCGTCGTCGGCATTCTCCTGGACTCCCTGCACTTCCCCCGTTGTCCTCGTCGGCGTCGTCGTCGACCTCGTCGTCGTCGTGGTTGTCTTCCTGGTCCTCGTCTGTCTTCGTTGTCGCCCTCCTCGTCGTCGGC